TCCACCGACGGGTAAAGGTCCCGTCCGCTCTTGTGTCGTTACCATTCTCAACGGTTCTACTCCCCACGCACTTCTGTACGACTTGACGCACGACAACGAGACGATGCTCGACAAACGCTCCGCGGAAGACGCGCTGTCTACGGGTGCGCTCGTGACGTTTAGCTACTCCGCTATTGGTTCCGTCAAGGGCTTTGACGACCTGTACCCGAAGTTGCTCAATTTGGTCGGGGAGAAGAGGAAATACGAGCTGACAGGGCTCGGGGAGAGGAGCGGCATCGCGCAAATCAAGCACGTACTCAATGGCCTGCACTTGGAGATGGTGCTCGGCGGATATGAGGAGGGGCATGTGCACCAGGAAAATGACGTGCGCAATTCTTCTCGTTTTCACTCGTTTGATACTCATTCCGTGTCCAGTACATTGTTCTGCATCGCGTTCAGCCAGGGACACAAAAGGGCTATTTGCTTGTTGCGCACACCGCGTTTTCCAAGGGCTCAAAGGACAGAGGATTCAGTACGTTTTCCGTTTGCTCCATTGACATGCGACCAATGATTGAATATTTCTAGTCGACCCCATCAAACTTCGCCGTACGCGCGCCAAGTTTATACTCGGCGCCAGCCTCGACATCACCTCGTACGAAGTACCAAAAGATGCCAAAATTCTCCAGGGTATGCCGGCCAAGCTCGTCGAGATGAAGCCTCTTGTAGTCCCGCAAGGCCTCGACGGCGAAGGTCCTTATTCGGAGATTATTGTCCCAGAATACTTCCCACCAGGCAGCATCATGCTTTTCGAGACCCACCTCCACGAGCACGACTCGTCGCTGGACGCGTTCTGCATGTCGGGTGCGAAGGAGGCGTTTGCGGATTTGACCCTGGTCGACCTCAATGTGTTGCTGCACCGCGCCGATGGCGAAGAGCGTGATGCGAGCGACGGGGAGTTTGGTGTTTACGATGTGCCAGGGCTGGGGAAGATGGTGTACTGCGGGCTGGAGGGGTGGATGCATCCGCTCCGCCATATCATGCGCTATAACGATTTGGGGCATCCGCTTTGCGGACACTTGCGCGAAGGGAGCTGGGCGCTTGACTATGTGCATCAGCGTTTAACCAAGTCAGTCATATTTTTGCAGTCTAAAGATCATGGGCTGACGACAAGTTTTCCGTTAGACAATCGGCTGTAATGCCTAGATTGGCGAAACCAGCGCAGTGGTTTAAGGAGCGTTTCGAGCGCGTCAAGGCCAACGTGCCGCCCCACCTGCGGCCCAGGTTCTTTGCGCTTGTGATCTCAGAGGCTTACAAGGCAGCACGCAGTGCGGTGGTTGAGCAATGTTCCGAATTCGTCTCGTCAGGCCATTCGTTCACGCAAGACCTTGCTCTGTGTTCTGTGCAGATGCATGGCTTGGTCAAATCTGCATCGCTCGATCCTGGTACTGCGACGCCGGCCTTGGCCGCGGGGCTGCCGCACTTTGCTGCTGGGTGGGCGCGCTGCTGGGGACGCGATGTTTTCATCTCGTTGCGTGGACTCTTCCTGACCACGGGCAACTTTGATGGTGCGAAGAAGCATATTTTGGCGTTTGCGTCGACTTTGAAGCATGGATTGATCCCCAATCTATTGGACTCTGTTCGGAATCCGAGGTTTGTTGTTCTTTCGTCAAAGGTCGTGAAATGCTAGACTTAATTGCACCGCAGATATAACTCGCGCGACTCCCCGTGGTGGATGCTGCAAAATATTCAGGACTACGTTGCGATGGCTCCCGATGGCCTGGCTATTCTTTCTGAGCCTGTGAAGCGCCGCTTCCCGGCGGACGACACCTGGGTGCCGTGGAATGACCCGCGCGCCTACGCGTATTCAACATCTCTAGCCGAGATCATCCAGGAGATCCTCCAGCGACACGCCGATGGTATTCATTTCCGCGAGTACAACGCTGGTCCAAACCTCGACATGCAGATGAAGGACAATGGATTCAATATTGATATCCACGTCGACTGGAAGACGGGCATGATCTTTGGTGGCAATCAGGACAACTGCGGGACTTGGATGGACAAGATGGGGGAATCGCAAAGGGCGGGAACGAAGGGTGTTCCTGGGACACCGCGAGACGGCGCGCCGGTCGAGATTACCGGCCTGTTGAAGAGCACGCTGCGGTGGCTCGATCAGTTGTCCGGTGCTGGCAAGTTTCCCTTCAAAGGTGTCAAAGCCACCAGTATGTTTCTTTTTCTTTTCCTCTTTCATGAAGGGATCTGAAATGGCTTTCAGTTGACGGCACAGAGCGGTTGGTCACGTATAAGGAGTGGTCTGGGCTGATCCAAGCGTCGTTCGAAAAATGCTATTATGTGCCGTTGAGTAAGCAGGTTCGTCCTCCTGGCGGACTCGGATTGACTCTGCGCAGATCCATCAGACGACGGTCACTATAATGTCAACTCGAAGCTCGTGAACCGGAGAGGCATCTACAAAGACGTGTATGGGTCTGGTGCCGGACGGGAGTGGTCCGACTATCAGCTACGCTGCAACTTCCCAATCGCGATGACAGTCGCCCCCGAGTTGTTCGATGCGCAACACGGGATTGCAGCGCTGAAGCTGGCAGACAAGGTCCTTCGCGCTCCACTTGGGATGAAGACGCTGGATCCTTCCGACCTCCAATACCGCCCTGTTTACGACAACTCGAACGACTCCACTGACGCTGCTATTGCAAAGGGCCTGAATTACCATAACGTGCGTTGACCCTAGCTTCAATATGGACTGATGATCTGAAGACTGGTGAACAGGGTCCGGAATGGGGCTGGCCCTTGGGATACTTTTTGCGCGCATATCTTGATTTCGATACTCGCGCAGGCGGAAGCCAGGTGAGATTTACGTGGCGATAAATCGCTTAACGCTGACCACAATACAAACAGGACATGGCTTTGCACCACCTGCTCCAGATTCTGCTACCTGCTCGCCAGCACATCCAGAACGATCCTTGGGCTGGCATCCCCGAGCTCACGAACCAGAACGGGGCCTACTGCAGTGACTCGTGCAACACCCAAGCGTGGAGTGCGAGCACGCTGCTTGACTTTTTGCATTCGATTTTTTCAAAGGAAAATATGTAAAATAAGACAATTGACCGCAAGATAGAATACTAGCAATTGCATACATAGAGTTCACTGTACTGTCGTCACTATGGGTTTGGGCCTTTATTGTGAACTCGAGAATGTCGCGTCAGCTGATCCGCCCTCGCGAAGGACTTGTTGCACGTATCGCAGGTATATGGTTTTGCGCCAGTGTGGGTCCGAAGCTGAGGAGATTAAAGATGTGTTATTCAGAGTGTAAACCACAACATACATGTTTGGACAGATTGGACGACTCTGAGAACGCTCTGCGTCGTACGTTAATTGACCATATAAATAAGTGAAGAACATGAACTTGCTTCTCGCAATGAGGGCATTTGAACGGTTTTTCGCCGTTATGAGTTCGTTTGTGAATCGTGAGGGCACCAGTGATGGCAAAAGATTTTCCGCAGCCAGGATAGTCGCACAAGTATGGCTCTGGCGACTAGTTTAGTGATGATTCTCGAGACCTGTGGGCATCTACTGACTTTCCTGAGTGTGTCGCCGCATGTGCTGCTGCAACGTCGCGGCTTCGGAAAAGTTTTGCATACAGACTTTGCATTGGAATGGGCGGTGGCCAGTGTGCGACTAGACGATCTAGATCAGTTGTAAACTTTAAATCTACAAGCATGTACGAACCTGGAGATGTCTGCTGAGTTTCTGCTTACTTGCGAAGCCGCTTTCCCCATGTCGAGGACAGTCTTGCCAGTAGCAATCATAAGATGTTTTTCCCGACCCAACGTGCGCATCAGTCAGATGTTGGGTAAGCTCGTCTAAAGAGGTAAAGCTTTGCCCGCACGAGGACCATCGGCAAACATGCCCAGCGGGGCTTTCGGGGCTTTCGTTCTCGGGAGGTAGCGTTGATTGCACCGGTTCTGAAGTTTCTGGTGGGTCGGGGTGGGGCACATCACAGAGATGAGGGTGGAAACAAGGTGGAACGCAGATATGATCGGGTTGGAAACAAGGCGGAACGTCGACCAAACCCAGGTGGTCGTGCAAGAGATGGGAGGAAAGACCGCGTAACATCGAGTCGATCTGGCCCGAGGACGGGCCCGGCACCAAATCAGGAGTGGGATATATGGTGCAGTCTTTCCACTGGCATGTAAGCGAGGAAAAGGCTGGTGGGTCGGAGGTCGTAAGGGGCGAGGGTAGAGAGGGGTGGCACAGATGCACCACATTGACATGTTCAGCCAGGTCCGAGAGACTGACGAATGAAGCACCGCAATTGCCCCACATGCAGGCCAGAGCAGGTGCCTGCGGATGGTTTACCTCTGGAGTATCAGGGGGGGAAGGGGTAGATTCAGTAGGCGTAGATATGGCAGAATCCAGTGCCATCAGAAAATTCATGTCGGCCTCTGCAGTACCGTTCGGCGGGACGCAATCCATCCTGCTTCCTCCACCACAACCACATACAAATGTTTTGAGAGAGGAGTCCCACGACCAAGCGTTAGTGGTTTCTGGGTGGTTTCTGGGCTCCTCGTAATAAGAATGAAAATCGGTGCAACAGTCCAGCTAAAAAATTGGATGTAAGACGCGGCAATTCAATGCCTAGAAATCGAACGAACAAATTCGTCGAAGCCGTTGCAATCCTTGCAGTTGGACGCATCTTCACACACGAGATCGCAGTGGTTTCCGGGGCATTCCAGGTCGCAGCTGGGATCCTCGTCGCTGCAAGCCACAACGACGCACTGGTCTGTGCATTGAGAGGTCATGGATGGGACTACGTGGCAGTCAGCGCAGACAGGAGCCCCCAGCTTTCCACGGTTTGAAGGTAACATCGAAGGTGGCGGAGAGATGTTTGTGCGCTTAGCGAGGCCGGATCCGTCGGATCAGCTGCAAAGAGAACCCTCTCGGTGTCTTTGTATACTTATATTTGTCGTGGGTGCCTATAGTAACAACTAAATCCCTTTCGCGACGTGGCCGCTGTAGCACAAAGGTAGTGCGTTGCCTTCCTACGTGCTTATGTAATCCGCTTACGTAATCAGGCAAAGGTTGTGGGTTCGAGCCCCATCAGCGGTTTTAACAGTTTTAAACGATTTTAAAGCGATTTGAGGCCGTTATTTTGTGGATGCATAGTAGGGACATGGCCAGCATTTTTTCGTCAGGACAAAAAGTGCCACAACTAAACGAACAGGGGCATTCGCGCCAGTTGTGCGTTCGAACCCCAGCGGCAGTTTTTTTGTGGTACATACCTGCTTAATTTTATCGTACGCCGTTTCACAAGACATTCAAGTCCTGGTCGACAATCTCAGATGGAGTCGGATGGGCACTGCAACTACTTATGCTAGATTTTCTAAATGTTCATCGGTAAACATCGCCAGTCGGCACTGGAGCCAACGATCCAATAATGGCGTTTGGGGTTGTACGCCCTGTATAATTAGTTTCCGTTCAGCTTCGGACTCGCGGCCTGGCGCGCCCCAAGATTCCGTACTGTGTCTGGCAGTCTTGATTTTTCAGCCCGTAGGGCAGCGCGATCCGCAGAAGAAACCCGACTTGATTTCCATCGAGTAGGGTCACGATCTACTAGTTTGTCGTGATTTTATTATCCTTTTTTCGAACCTGCAGCTTAGGGCCGGAGGATAATTTCTGGCGTCTTGAGCGTCCAGCAGCGAATGTGGTAAGTAAGTACAGGAAATGAGCATCGAGTAGAATCAACAACACCAAAGCGGAAGGAATCGGCCAGCTCAGCAAGCCAGATCTTCACCCTAGACTTCATCTAGACGACCCTCCATGTCCTCCCTCCCCTCTCCGCCGCTCCGAAAATGGGATGCCAGGTACTCCCGTCTTTTCCATGTCTTCTCCGATACTTGATCTCTTTTTCCCCAGGCTCCTCGGGCCTGTGCCTCACGACCTGAACTACTACTCAAAGTGCATGTTCGGCGGTGTCCTTGCCTGTGGCTTCACCCACGCCGGTATTACCCCCCTCGATGTTGCGAAATGTAATATGCAGGTCGGTCCATGAATCCACACTTGGCTGACGTTCACTCATCTTTTTTTTCAAAGGTCAACCCCGTCAAATACAAGGGCCTTTTCCCTACCCTGGGTCTTCTTGTGAAAGAGGAGGGTCAAACCGGTATCTGGAAAGGCTTCGGGCCTACCTTCGTCGGTTATTCCCTCCAGGGAATGTTCAAATATGGTCTCTACGAAGTGTTCAAGGACGCCTACATGAACCTCGCGGGCGAGGAGTTGACGAACAGCTACAAGCCCCTCATTTGGCTTGCTGGTTCCGCCTCTGCTGAAGTCTTTGCCGACATCGCTCTTTGCCCGTTGGAGATGACCAAGGTCAAGATTCAGACTAGCGCGACCGGAACGTTCCCCACCGCATTCGGTGCTGCAATCTCAAGAATGAACGCGACCAAAGCTGAAACCCGTTTTCCCTTCGGCTCCCTCGGTCCTCTATGGTCGCGTCAGGTTCGTCTTCAGAAAAAATATTACACTGGTCATTTATAACCCAGTCCGCAGATCCCTTATACCATGGCCAAGTTCTACTTCTTCGAGAAGATCGTCCAGTTGTTCTACACCCACGTTTTCACTGAGCCCAAGGACACGTACAGCAAGCCCACCCAGCTCGGTGTCACCTTCACGTCTGGCTACCTCGCTGGTGTGGTCTGTGCCATCGTCTCCCACCCCGCGGACTCGTTGGTTTCCCTCCTCGGCAAGGCTGAGAACAAGGGCAAATCCGTCGGACAGATCACTTCCGAGGTTGGAGTCGGCACACTCGCTACGAAAGGACTGGGTACTCGTGTTCTCATGATTGGTTCGTCCAAATGCGCCACTTTCTCGCATTCCCCATGTTTATATTTTGATTCAGGTACCCTCACTGGATTCCAATGGTGGATTTACGATTCGTTCAAGGCCGCCATGGGAATGGGAACGACCGGTGGCAAGTAATCGCGCGTTAACCTAGCTCAAAAACGTTGGTTAGTTTTCTTCTGACGAACGTGCGATTGATTGATCCTGCCATAGAATAGAATCTTACGTGGGACATGCGTGCATCCTATTTTACTTATTCGTCCTTGTCCTCTTTCCGTACTTAGAATGGAATTTAATACCTTCCGCTCACCCCTCTCATGTCGTCCACCTTGCATAGCGCAAAGCATTTGAGAGCAATGTTACAAGTCTAGGTTCTTACTGGGCCTTTCCCCCTTTTGACTTTTTACTCTCGCGCGAGTCGCCCGCCAACCAGGCAGCAGAGAAGATAAAGAAAGCCACGCTGGTGCTGATAGCACCTGCGTAATAGGGCCACGCAGCACTAAGGAATCTTGGGTAGCCGTCGTGGCGGGGGGGAACGAGAGCTACGGTGGTCGAGCTGTGGAGGTGCGTCCATCTGCGGCCAGTCAGCACACCGTCGCAGGGAAAGCGAGGTCTCGTACCCTTTTCGATTATGGTTGATCACAAATTTAAATACACCGTGACGGTCTGGGGCGCGGAAGGTAACAGAGTACGTCCCAGGCGAGGCAGGGACCGCCGGGAGAGCGGTGCGGATATGGGGATCCAACATCGTGAACTCGAGCTGCAGGTCTGTGATCCCAGAATACGGCTCCCAGACCGAGGTTTTCGGGTTGAAGTGTGATATGTGAGCGGTGAAAACCTGGGGAATGTTTGAAAAGCATGCAGTTAGGTATCAAGGACACGCACAATGTTGTCATTGGTTGTGTACTGCTCTGCCGGCGTCGTGGAGTTGACCAGGTGGTGCGTCGTACTGTCGATGCGCAGCACGAGCGACTCCTGGAACGCCCATGCCGTAAGGTCGCGCGCGAATTGCGCGTTGCCGGACTTGGCCCCCCTGCGAAAGTATCGAGATCAAGGCAATGCGCGAGACAAAAAATAACACACTTGGACTCCTCTTTCTTGAAGAACTTGTCGCTGAACAGATCGACTCCCCCGATCCAAGTCACTCGAGCACCACCAACAGCCTGGAAGCCAGCCGCTACGCTCAGCTGGCTGCCAGCCCACAAACCTTCGCCGCCTTTCTCTGAAGCATCGACAAGAACGTCGGCACCACCCTGCGAATCCGCGGCAAAGCTCTCTGGCGGCGCGCTCAGGATCGGCACGAGTAGCGGGTTGTTTCCGAGCGCAAAGGGGACACCTGAGAACCACACGGGCGCCCTGTTGGGGGACAAGATGGCGGAAGACTTGGGCGCGTCAATCGGGATGACTGATACCGGGTCCTTGCGCTCGGGGAAGAACGAGATCAAGGGAGTGCCGGGGGGTGGGAGAATGAGGGAGAATTCGGACGCAAGGGAGGACAGCGGTGTTTGCTTGGGAGAAAGTCCAATGAGGAGGTTTGTGCCGCCAGACACGAGTTCAACTAGAGACTGAGGTGTAATATCTTTGGCAAAATCTGGGCCACTGGAATGATTCCCTGTACAATCGCGTCAATGAAGGACTCACTTTTGGATTCCGAAGCCAAGATGATAATGTGAGAGAATGCCGGGACATCATACTCGACTACAACTGGTTTTTCGTCCTTGGGTGCACGGAATGTAAGATTGTAACCACGGTCTAAGCAGATGTTACGAAATTGCATTAGGATTCACACCCAGCGTACCTTTCAGGCCGTCGAAGAAAAGACTAAAGTCCTTCTTGTGCGCGTCCTCGACGAGAACGAGAACAGCATCTCCATCGCTGGATTTGGCGTGCAGAAGGCCTGATAGACTCAGGAAAAATAGGGCAAATGTGTAGAATGAAAGCATGGGTCCAGAGTTGTAGCCAGCACGACAGACCGAGAGTCGGAGGCTAAGAAATGAAGGTCAAGATTTCCCACTTGAGAGTTACACGTCGGCGGCAGGTTATTTTTAGGTCACATTTGTCGCTGCTTGGTATTGGCTTTCGTTTGGCCGAAATTAGTGGACTCCAGTGCTGGTAGCCTTGTACTGAAGACGAGTGGGCAAATGAATGCACGTCTTCACTTCTCGCACAATGAAAATGAAGTAATATATATAGCATCACAGCGCGATCTGAGAACTATCAAGCCCAAGGGCGTGCAGAAATAGATTTACATTCGCTAGTTTTGTTCGCCTCTCATCCTCGTCCGCCACCCAACCCTTGTTCGCGCTTAACACGTTCTCAAGCACCTTGTCGCGCAGGGAAGTCACCAGTACCTGGTGCTGCTCCGGGACCGCCTGCAGCGCCAACGCTGCCAGGAACTGCCACACCGGTTGGTCGATGATGTCGATAGCGAGGGCAGCGCTAGGGGGATGGTGTGCTGGTAGCGTGATGCGACTCGAAGGGAATAGCGCGAGGAAGTGAGGGGTGAGGAGGACGAAGAATTGGTCGAATACGGCTTGCCTACATCAATCAATGTCAGTGTGTGTCTTGAGTACCTCAGGATTCCCACCATTGATCAAGAGAGGCTTGTGTAGTCATAAGATCCACAGGTTCAGCACCCGTCGACCATGCCTGCTTGATGACCTCTACCCGGCTCAAGAATAATGTGAGGAGGGCCAATCCAGGCTACAATTGCACTTAGTGCATCGGAATACGTCGAAAATTAGCTTGTACCTTGGTCTTCGCGACAGCAGCGATATCATAGCTGCGGTGAATCAAAAGCCCCAGGAGCGCGGTCACGACGTGCAGCTCGAGGGTTGCAACAATCGGAAGGATGCTTTGCAAGACGCTACCAAGGAAGGCCTGCGTCTGGCGCTCCGTTTCAGCGCGCTCCGGGGAGTCCTCGAGATCATCTAGTAGCGGCGCCTCCTTCACGACGTCTAATTGCGTGAAACACGCGACAAGGAGGGTCAAAAGGGTGAGCATGCGAGAAGAACCGATATGCCGGGTGAGGCGCGGAAGAAGCTTTTTGCCCTTGCTCGGAGACAGCAAAGAGACGAAAGGATGTGGATTGCTAAGTGCCGAATAAATTCCGGGCACCAATATCATGAAAAGGACGCATACCTGGTTTCTAAAGGTACCATAACCTTGAGACCTTCCCAGAGCTGCTCGACCAGGTCGTCGTACTCTTTTTGCCTGTCAAGACATGAGAGTCGATATGGAAACTTCCCGAGTCATACATACCAATG